CGCGCAGGCTCAGCGGCCATGGCTCACGGGCCCAGCTGTTCCGTGGCATGTGGGATCTTCCCGGACCGGGGCACGAACCCGTGTCCCCTGCATCGGCAGGCGGACTCTCAACCACTGCACCACCAGGGAAGCCCCTTCTTTTTCAATATTTATTTCTTTTCATTTCTTTTCCTTGCCCTACTGTGTGTGCTTGGCTAGGGCTCTATTGCAGTGCTGAACAGAAATGGTGATAATGGCTATCCTTGTCTTGTTTCTGATTTTAGAGGGAGTGCATCTTATGTTTCACCATTGAAATCGATTTTTGGCTGTAAGGTTTTAAAAGATACTCTATTCAGTTAAGGAAGATTCCTTCCATTTGTAACTGCCAGGTCTTTGGTTTTACAATGAGTGAGTGTTGGATTTTATCCTATGATTTTTTTTGCTTTTACTGAGTTGGTTATGTTTTTTCTCCTTTAATATGTCATTGAGGTAAATTACATTTAAAGATTTTCCTCATCTTAAACCACCCTTATATTTTTAGGATAAGTCTGACTTTTTCATGGTGGATTGATTATCTTTTTTACGCACTGCTGGATTTATTTGTGGCATCAATTATCTATTGCTGTATAAAAGATCAACCCCAAACTTAGTGGCTTATAACAACAACCTTTTTTTCCCCCTCACAGTTCTATGAGTGGTTAATTTGGACTGAGCTCAGCTGGGTATTCTTCTGCTGGCTCCACCTGGACTCACTTATGTGGCCGTAGTTGTCTGGTGGCTGAATAGGGCTGATGGTCAAGGACAGCCGTATTCATGCCTGTGGGTTGGCAGGTTGCCCGTTGTGATACTTTGGTTCTTATCCACATGGCTTCTCCAGAAGGCTTAGGCTTGGGCTTGTTCACGTGGCAATAGCATTCCAAGTGGGCATTAGTGGAAGCTTTAAGTTTTCTTGAGGTGTAGGCTCAAAAATCACATCATGCTACTTCTGCCACATTCTATTCATCGTAGTAAGTCACAGGCCAGCCTGTGACTAAGTGAAGAAACAGACTCCTTGATGGTAGGAGCTGCAAATAATTTGTGGCTATTTAAAATCTATTACAGTTTGCTAATATTTTGTTTGGAATTTTTGTACTTTTCATAAGAGAGATTGGGCCATAATTTTCCTTTGTCATATGGTCTGTGTGTAGTTTAAGAATCAAGGTTATACTTGCCTTACAGAAAGAGTTGGAAAGCTTTTGGTTTTGTTTTCTATTCTTTGCAAGAGTTTGTATAAGATTTTAGTGATCTATTCCTTGAAAGCTCTGCTCCTTGACTATAAAACTGTTTTGGCCTGGTGTGTTTTGTTTTGTTTATAGAAAGATTAACTACTGATTCCATTTCTTTAATAGGACCATTCAGACTTTCTATTTCTTCTAGATTCAGTTTTGGTAAGTTATATATATTTTGTTTGTTTTTTTAAAGAATTTGTCTATTTTGTTTGCATTTTCAAAATTACTGGCATTAAGTTGTAGATAGCATTATCTTTCTAGTCACTACTGTTTCTGTAGTTAGGTCCACTCTTTCATTCTACTTTTATTTGTGCATCACCCTTATCAAAGGTTTGTCTATTTTATTTGCCTGTTCCTAAAATCAACTCTTGGCTTTATTGATCCTATTTCATTTGTTACTACTTCATTGATTTCTGCTTTTATCATATCCTTTCTTCTATTTACTTTGGGTTTGTTTTGTTGTTCTTTTTCTAACCTTTTAAGCCGGCATAGCTCATTAATTTTCAGTTTAAAAAATTTTCAGTTAAGCATTTTAAATCGACAAATTATCCTTGAGATACATTTTGGCCATCTCCCACAAGTTTTGTTGAGTAGTATTTTCATTATTGTTGTTATAAAATACCTCTAAATTCCCATAATGATTTCTTCTTTGACCAGTGAGTTTATTTAGAAGGGTGTTTTAAAATTTCCAAATCTGGGGCTTCCCTGGTGGCGCAGTGGTTGAGTCCGCCTGCAGATGCAGGGGACACGGGTTCGTGCCCCGGTCGGGGAAGATACCACGTGCCGCGGAGCGGCTGGGCCCGTGAGCCATGGCCGCTGAGCCTGCGCGTCCGGAGCCTGTGCTCCGCAACGGGAGAGGCCACAGCGGTGAGGCCCGCGTACCGCAGAAAAAAAAAAACAAAAAACAAATTTCTGGACCTATGGAGATTTGTTTAAAACTTTAAAAAAAATTGAAATATAACATAGATACAGAGAAGTGTATAAAACTTATATGTACAATGTAATGCATAATTAGGAAGCAAACAACCATGTAACTACTCCAGGTTAAAAAAAAATAGAGTACCACCCAAACCCAGAAGCCCCCTGTGTCCCTCCCCATTCATAGCCCTCTCCCTCCTGGCAGAGAGGACCACTTTCTTGACTTTTGAGATAGATTTTCCCTATAGATTTACCACCTTTATGTGTATGTCTAAACAATATCAATTAGTTTTGCCTGTTTTAAACTTTACATGAATGTAACCACAAAGTATATAAATCTTTTGTGTCTTTGTTCTTTCATGAGATTCATCCATATTGTTGGCTGAACTGTAGTTTGTTCATTTTTAATGTTGAATAATGCTTCTATATATAAATATACCAGATATTCTTTATCCAAGCTACTGAAAAGGGATTTCTGGGTTGTTTCCTATGATCTCTCTGATAGAGGTTATCTGAAACGTGTTACATTTTGCCTTATGGGCTGATATGTAGCCAGTTATTGTAATGCTCCATGTAGGCTTGGGAAAAAAAAAAGCGATTTTCGAAAGATTGGGTGTGGGGTTTATGAATATTTCTAATCCCTATTGTTTTAAACCCGGACTGCCCCAGTTTTTGTGTGTGTGTGTTTGTTTTTTCATTACCTGCCTGACCTCTATATATTGAGTTTTTCATCTCTGGAAACGATTCAGGGTAAATCTTTTCTGAGATATTTTCTATATTAAGGCAGCCTGGGTTTGAGTTGCAACAGAGTGATGACTGCTAAATAGCAGGAATAACTTCTCAACTATTTCAAGTGGAATGTTCCAGATATGGGTAGTGGGGAGGGGTAGAAGGTCTGAAGGCCTTGAAGAAGGGTTTTGCTGTGGGAAAGTGAAGAGCCTTGGTGGGGGGAGATGGACGAAGCCTGACCTTTCCATGAGGATTCTTAACATGATTCTAGGGTCAGCGTTCCAGTCACCCATCTGCTGGCCTTTTGGACCGCTCAGCAACTGGCATGCTTTCCAAGTCTGTATCCATGAGTGGCATCAATTACTTCTTGGGCTGCTCAGATCCAGCTGGTGAGTAAAAGTGGGGAGCAAAGCAGTGGTGGGCCCTTCCTCTGCCTGTCTCACCCCACTCCTCAGAGCCAGCTGTTCAGGGTCCAGATGTCCTGCATTATGTTTAACCACACACCCTTGGAAACCCCAAAATGCCTTTATTCAAGTGAGAGATCTGAATTCAGGACTTTGGTATTCTGAGGTTCTTCGTCCAATGAAGGAGGACATAGGACAGAGAGAGGCTCTCTAGCTTCCCCTGTCACCAGAGATGGAGGACAGTTATCCGCAACGTACCTTGTCATCAAGAAGAGGCATTGGGAGCTCAGAGTGAATCCTCTGCCCTCGCCATTCACTGAAAAGGAATTGAGACATTGGCCTCTCAGCCCCCTCTCCACACTACGCTGGTGCTCTGTTACCCTGGCTCCTAAGTTCTTCAGCTCTGCTCTGCTCAGACGCCTCCCTCCTTCCCTACTCCCCAGTGCCCGCCCTCAGGAATGGCGTCACAAGCACCTGCAGCTTGGGAACCTGATCCAGGTGGAGGGGGTGGGGGAGGCAGCCCTGGGCGCCTTTGTCTGGCTTTAGCTGGACACCTCACGTCTCCTTTTGTGTTGGCAGGGAATTTGTCCCAGTCCTCTGCTGCTGACCTCAGCCAAAGGTGAGTTTGGGGGACACAGAGCCCTTCAAAGCCCTAGATGGGGGAGGGACAATGGGACTGGGCCATGGGTTTTGTAGCCCCAAGGGTCTCTGTTTCCTGAAACATTGTTCCCCTTAACGTTTCTTATGAAAGACCTCCAAATATCCTTCTACCTGCGCTGCATAGAATTCCCCTTCTTCTCATTGGCTGGGGAAGGCTAAGAAGTTTCCCGGTAGCTCCATGGGATGAAGAAGAAATCAGGGAAAGAAAAGGAGTATATAGACCCCAGGGTGTCTGTTAAATAAGAGAGTGGAGGTTGACTGCTGTTGTCAGTGTCAGAAAAGTCAGCAGGCGGATTCGCTGCTGCACAGTCTTAGGGAGAGACGGTGACCAAGGACCATGGACCAGCTTTGGATAGCTGAGATAATCGACCAATGGGGAGTGGCCCTAAGGAGAGCTGGGCACGGACTGTAGCGCCCCAAGGGGAGAGGGCAGGGGCTGAAGGCATATTGTTCATGAATCGAGGTGGAGGCTGGGAGATTTACATAGTATCTATGTAAATAAGCATGCAAAATCAGCACCTGTTTATTTGGCTCCTACAGCTGAAGCCTGATTAGAGTGGGTTAGCCCTCTAAGACAGTGTGGGTGTGTGAGCTAGTAATGGGCCCTTTAAGATATCAAGCTCTGATTTGTGGTCCTGAAAATCTCTAGCTGACACATCCTCCTGGCTCTCGGTTTGGGATTAGCTCATGGGATGGGGCTGATGAAATCCCAGGAAATTCAGTCCTTATTGGCGTTAGGCCCAGAGGCCTTTTCCAAACAGCAGGGAGGGTCATACACAGGACTCTTGTTTTGTGAGGGGAAAACGTCCCCTTGGAGAGGCCCCCTCCCCATATCATTTCCGTTGGGAAGCGTCATGAAAGAGGAGATTGGGCCTGGATTAGGTAGGAAGGGGGAGTCTGTATTTATCTGGGAGGAGCCTGGAGTTTTCCTCATAAATAGAAGGGCCTGGGAAACAGTAGTGACCTTATCTAGGAAATCCGAGGAGGTAGGGGAGTGGGGGCCTCTTTCTCCTGAGTCCTTCCGCTCTCTTCCTCACCCTTCTCTGTCTTTCCCCCGTATCTCCCCATTCTCTCTCCCCTGGTCATGGCACTTCATCCACCATATCTCTGGGAGTATCTTGTTGTTCTTTCCCAGCTCGAGCTCCATCTCTTCACCTCTTCTTTTTCTCTCTGCAGCTGTAGCCAACTGGAAGGGGGCTCAGGCACCTGGGCAGGCTCCTCCCTGGGACGGACCCTCAGCTTCATCTTGGGCATGACCGGAAAGGCCAAGGTAGGAGTTGGGGAAGCAGGAGGCCCGGGACCCACCGCCCTCCCCAGTTCCCTTCCCCTCCCCCTCACCATCTGCTCCCCTCCCCAGCTTCCCCCGGTAGGCAGAGACTCAGGGCAATGGTTCAAGTTTTAAGGGAACATGGTATATCTCCCAGTCTCCCTCCTTCTGTCCCAGTAAATCACCTTTCTTCTGCTTTCCCTATGTCTCCAGCTTAGCAGCCAGCTGTGGACAGCTGGAAGGGGAGATGGGCCAGGAGCCTCAGAAGCTGAGGAGTGGCCTAGCCCTCCCTCTCTGGAGGCCCCACATAGCTGAGAGATGGGCAGCCGAAATCTTAACCATCGGGCATAATAATCATAATAATTACAGTAATACTTTTTACTTCTTCAGAGAGTATTCGGGTTTGCAAAGTGCTTTTACACTCATAATTTTATGGGTGGATATGGCAGCTGAAGGAGTTGAAATGAGACCATAGGCAGAGTGGAAGCCAGGAGAGTGTATGATTGTGGAAGCGCATACACACTGTACCAGTGGGGCCACATGCGGTTCCGACCCCAGGAAGGTGAAGGCACGTTGCTCTCTTCATTATTACCAACACCCCGGCTCTGGTGAAACTAGGAGCTCTGCCTGCTGCTTGAATTCATTTCCACTCTCTTCATTTACTGGCAGAATGAGCCACTCCCCCCTTTTCCTCTCCTGGCTTCCCCAAGTATGCATGTACTTTCCCACCGGGGCGGCTCCTGAACATTGAGAGAAACCCCAGACAAGACATCATCAGATTCACCTTGAAGTACCACGGGATCCTCACCCAGTAAGGTTGCCTGGGCTCCTCCTGGCCCTGCCGGCAATGCCAGCGCTCTCTTCTCTGCCAGCCTTTCAGTCAGGATTCTCCTTCCTCTGGGTGGGCAGGGAGGGCAGAAACAAAACCAGGTTCTCAGCTCCTTCTCGTTGCAGGCCGCAGGCGGGGAGCTGAAGCGTGAGATCAGGCAGTCTGAGAGCAGGGCGAGGTGGGCACAGTGAGGCTTCTCCTCTGCCATGCGGGGGAGCAGAGCTCTCTACAAAGAGAACAAAGCCAACACCCAGACCTTGGGTCTGAGTCCCTCTCCCCACAGCCTCTCTGTTCAGGGTAAGAGAGTCTGACAGCAGAATCACCCTCTTTTCCTGCAGTGGGAATGGTAGAGGAAGTCGGTGCTGTCTAGGGGCCATCCAGATCCCAGTTGGTCTGCATTTGCCCGCCCTTGGCCTAGCAGTTTGGTGAGGGGATGAAGGAGAAAGTGGGCAGAGACTGAAACCCAGACAGCCAGCAGGAAAGAGCTAAACATCGTCAGGACATTGTCCCAGTCGACTGCCTTTCCTTGCTAGGACTCTCATTCTGTCTTCCTGTTTCCCTCTCTGTCATCTCCTGGTCCATCTTGCTTCCACCCTCATGAATGTGTGTGCTTGCATCACTGAATCTCTTCTTCCCCCTCCTCCCAGCTCAGGATAGGGGCCATAAGCAGGTAAACACCAGGGGTGGGGGTGGAGAGAAACTCAGTCAAGCAGTGAGAGAAGGAAGTAGCTTATTCCTTCCTATTTGACTAGCATCGTAGAGTTGACAAAACACTTTTCCAGAGGTCATCTCATTTAATTCTTATAACACTCTGGCAAAGATAAATATTTTAATCTCTGTGTTTTGTTTTGTTTTTAAAGCTCTTATTTACATTTGTTATTATTTTTAAGATTAATTAATTAACTTATTTATTTATTTTTGGCTGCATTGGGTCTTCTTGGCCGTGCGCGGCTTTCTCTAGTCGTGGCGAGCGGGGGCTACTCTTCATTGCGGTGCGCGGGCTTCTCATTGCGGTGGCTTCTCTTGTTGCAGAGCATGGGCTCTAGGTGTGCGGGCTTCAGTAGCTGTGGCTCGCAGGCTTTAGAGCACAGGCTCAGTAGTTGTAGCACACGGGCTTAGTTGTTCCGCGGTATGTGGGATCTTCCCGGACCAGGGCTCGAACCCGTGTCCCCTGCATTGGCAGGCAGATCTTAACCACTGCACCACCAGGGAAGCCCCTTAATCTCTGTTTCATAGACAAGATAACTTAGAGCCTAGGTTACTCTCCCAAGATCCCACAGTTAGCAAAAGGTGGAGCTGTATTACAAACCTAGAGCTTTGACTATATGTTGTTGTCTCTGCTTCTGTCAGTAAACCTACGTAATAGTTTATCCCCTCTCTTCACTTCTTCCACCATTTCTGATGGATGGCCATTGGAGTCAATAATGCCTTAATCATCCCCTCCCAGAATACACAAGGTCCAAAGTAATAAGAAGAAAACCAAACCTCCTCCTGGGAACTGTAGGACTTGGGCCCAGGTATCCCTGTGGCTTTCTCTGCTTACCTACTGGCCAAGACCCTGACAACCAGGTTCTTCCCTGGGATGGCCTCCCTACCCCTGAAATGTGGGGGACATATCTGTTAAGTTAAATGAGCTAAAGAAAGTGGTGGCTACTTTTAGATTCTGGCAGAAATCAGGGTTGGCTTTTGTTTTTGTGTATCTAAAAAAATAATTTCTGAAAATCTGGGCAGCATCACTGGATAGGAGGAGCAGGGATTGGGATGAACATGGTTTGGAAGATGGGGTAGGGGATGCCAAGGAGAAAGGAAAAGGGTTCACTGTTCCAGAGGATACAGAAAATGGAAATTAAGTCAAGCTGCAGGCCTAGCTCACTAAAAGCACAGATGTTCTTAAAGGTAGACCGGTTTCCTTTACCCACCCCGCAAGTCCCCTTCCTTACTACTCATCTCTTAAGAGGAAGGAGAGGGCATAGGGTGAGAGGCAGGGTAACAAAGAGCAGATGGGTGGAAAGTATATTGAAGATTGGGGTAGGAGACAGAAGAGGGTTGGAAGATTAAGTCCTCTCCTTTCATAGAGACGATCTACGTTGAGTTTGGGGATTGAGATCCTTCACATAACTCTGGGATTCAGGTCCTGGGTTTATTGGGTATCCAGACTGGAGTTTGGCCCTTTAAGATTCCATCCTTAGCTTGAAACACCCTCCCACCCCAGGCCTGGGAGAAAAGCCGAGGTCGCAGCCTACCCCTTGTCTCAGGGCCCCTAGTGGGTGGAGCTGTGAGGCCAGGATTCTGGCTTCTGGCAGTCTGTTTTTAAATTTAGTACATTCCTCAGCCCTGGCTGCCCACTCAGGGGAGGTAAGTCTGGGGTTCTGGGCCCAGGAGCCTCAAGACTGCTGGTTTGGGGGAGTTCCTAGGGCCTTCCTGTAGGTCTCCCCTGCAGGTACAAGCCTGGAGGAGTCAGCCTCCCTCATGGCCCGGGGAAAGTCCTCTCTGCTTTCTAATTTCCACCCAGCCTAGAACTGGGCATGGTTATTTTCTCTCCTTTTTTTCTGGTCTTTGCTATATAAGGATCCTAAACAGGGGAATGGGTGAAGAAGGAGGTGAAGGAGTTGCTAGGCAGGAGGGGAAGCCAGAGGAGCAGTGTGGTGGTGAGGAGCCCAACTAGCTCAGCCAGTGGTCAGGCAGTGGAGCCCAAAATAGTGGCAGAGGCTAAAATTGGCACCTACAAGAGTGCTGAGCTGGGCTTGAAACCTGCAGCCAGGCCCTGCTGCTGACCCCGGGCAGGGAGCTGCTGGGTCTAGGTTGGGCCTCCTCTCCCTCCCTCCTTCCTCCACACCTTTGGGGACCAGAAATCAGGCAGGACCCTGCAAACATAAGATGCTCTGTCCCAGGACTCTCTCTACTTCTGTTTCTCCCAGAGACATAGGAGACCCTGAGAGGCAGAAATGAACTTCAGTGTGAGTGATTATAATTAGAGTGGAGGAGGAATTTTCCCCAAAAGGTGGAAGTTGCCTCAGACTGGGGCAGAGTGTCCAGAAAGAATGTCCTACTGCAACCCTCCTTCTTGTGGAGAGACTGGCCATACTCCAACTGTCCGTGACTGGGGAAGGCTGGTTGCTGGTCTTTTGGTTCTGGCCTAACTTGCAACAGAGGGAACTGGGGTTAGACACAAGGAAGGACTTCCTCAGCTTCTTAGTCTTCTGGAACAGTGGCGAATTCCTCCCCTCTACCACCCCAGTAGTCAGTGGAGGCAGAGGTAGGAGGGAAGAGGTTGGGCCGAGGGCGGTCTTGTAAGGCCCCAGAGAGTTGGGGGCTTGTGGAAGAATGCTCTCCTCTCAGATTCTTCAACCTCCAGGAGTGAATCTTCCCTTTCAGGCCCTCTAAAGATCCACCCTTTAGTTCCCCTTTGATTTCTCCACCCTCTCCCCATGCCTGCCCCCAATCGTAAAAGGGGTCGGTGGCTCTGGCCTGCTTTGATGGGCCCAGAAGGCCAAGAAGGAACTGGCCCCGGGTTCCCTGGAGAGCTGGGGGCGGCTGGAATCCTCCGGCCCGCGAGTCTTTCTAGACTGATGGACTGCGGAGGAGGAGGAGGAGGGGAAAGGGAAGACCAGGGGTGGGGTGAGGGCTGCGAGGCGGGCCAGGGTGGGTTTTAGGAAAACCGAAGCCAGGAGGCGGGCGTCTGGGGTTAGAGGCCCCCGGCGCTGGAGGGCAAACAGGCAGAGGGGCCCTGCAAGCTAGTCCACGGCCCCTTGTACTTGTGCGAGCCGCCCCTCCACGGACCGAGGCGTCCCGTCCGGCGCTCGGCACCCGCCCTCCCTCCGCCCCGCCTCCCCCCTTCCTGAGCTCGGGCGGGGGTGGAGACTCGGGTTTGAGGAACTGGCGCTGGGTGCCGGGCGAGGGGAGTCAGACTTCCTGTCCCCAAGATCGACGCGTGCGGGTCGGACAGGCAGTGGAGCCCAAAATAGTGGCAGAGGCTAAAATTGGCACCTACAAGAGTGCTGAGCTGGGCTTGAAACCTGCAGCCAGGCCCTGCTGCTGACCCCGGGCAGGGAGCTGCTGGGTCTAGGTTGGGCCTCCTCTCCCTCCCTCCTTCCTCCACACCTTTGGGGACCAGAAATCAGGCAGGACCCTGCAAACATAAGATGCTCTGTCCCAGGACTCTCTCTACTTCTGT